TGAGACTCCAACTCAAAAAAAAAAAAAAATTTGCCAGGCATGGTGGCACGTTCCTATAGTTCCAGCTACTTGGAAGGCTGAGGGGGAAGGATCACCTGAACCCAGCAGACTGAAGCTGTGGTGGCTGTGAGCGAGTCACTGCACTTCAGCCTGGATGACAGAGGGAGACTCCAACTCAAAAAAAAAAAAAAAGCTTCTCAACAAAATGCCCACCAAGTGGTAGGCTTGTCTAGAACTCACTAGCACTGGGGAACTTACACCTAAAGTGGAATAACTAAAACTCTATAAGGCAACCACAGTAGCAAAAGTTCCTCCTAATAAAACAGCACTACTGGCCAGGTACAGTGGTTCACACCTGTAATTCCAGCACTTCGAGAGGCTGAGATGAGAGGATTGCTTGAGCTCAGGAGTTTGACCAGTCTAAGCAACATAGTAAGACCTTATCTCTTAAAAAAAATTAAAAAATTAGCCAAGAGTAGGGCATGCACCTTAGTCTCAGCTATTTGGAAGGCTGAGGCAGAAGAATTGCCTGAGTCTAGGAGAGTGAGGCTGCAGCGAGCTGTGATTGTACCCCAATACCCCAGCCTGGGCAAGAGTGAGACCCCAACTCAAAAAAATTAAATAAATAAATGAAGCACTATTTTCAGTGAGCTTGTGATTTTTACTCCTGTGGGGTACACAGGAGCAAGTATTACTTTTATCTCAAAGGAAGAAATGGAGACTTTAAAAGGTTAACTTACACAACGCTGCATGGCTACTAAAAGACTAAAAGTTGGGAGACTAGAATCCAGATCACAATCTCTCCCAATTCTGTGACCGCCCCATAGAGCTCAGGAAGGCCTCGGCAGTCTATATACTTACAAAGAAATCCTCAGGAAGGGTGACAACAGTCATGACCACTGAGGGCTCACCACATCCAGGACTGGGCTGCACCACCTCCCTACATCACCTCCCTATAATCTTGTAGCTATACTGGAAAGAAGGGTCCTCTACTCCGTTTTACAGACGAGAAAGCTGAGTAACACAAAGGTTAAGCAGCTTATCCAGTATCACACAGCTAATAGGTACCAAAGTGAAACTTGCACCCAGACCACATGCAGTGAGTAATGTTGTAGGTAAATATCTGGACTCTAGAGTCTTCAGATCTCATATTCAGAACACATTAGTTTTGTGACCTTAGCCAACTAGTATATTTGACTCTGAGATCTCACTGTAAAACAGAAATAGCTTTACAACCTAAACGGACTCCATGGGCCAGGCACAGTAGCTCACACCTGTAATCTCAGCACTTTGGGAGGCTAAAACGGGAGAAGTGCTTGAGCCCAGAAGTTCCAGACCAGCCTAGGCCACACAGGAAGATTCTGTCTCAATAAAAAAATTAAGAAACTAGCTCTTCCGGGAGGCTGAAGAGGATTGCCTGAGTCCAGGAGGTTGAGGTTGCAATGATCGTGCTCTGCACTCCAGCCTGGGTGACAGAGTAAGACGCCAATTCAAAAAACAAAAGGACTCTACGGAAGAAGCAATAAACTTCAAGATGACCAAAGGCTTTCTACCCTTCCCATTGTAGCCTTAGGCCCCACTACTTTTCTTACTTTTTAAGGAATCTTGAAGCCAGCGCAGTTTGTTTCCCTTCCTCCTCCTCTGAGTCTGAATCAGAAGATGTGGAACCTGTGTCCCAGTCTTCATCATCTTCAGAGTCTTCTGAGTCCTCATCTTCATCCTTCAAGGAAACAGAGGATAAGCAGGAGGAAGATATTGAGATTGACTGGTCTCTCTGCTTTCCCTGATGAAACATATTCCAGGGATTTGCAAGAGCAGAAAAATAGTTATTGACGGAATCAAGATAACAAGAGCTTGACATTGCAACTTGACCCGTGACAGACACAGTTTCCTAGCAGGAAAGTTAGGTCCAGATTCCAGTTCACTCAGTGCTGTAATGTAAGAGGAAACCTGTTCTCAGACAGACTCCACTAAATCTCACTTCTCCCAACCCTAGGGTTCTGAGTCTTTTCTTCTTCCTAGAGACTCAAGTTTGGCCTCTGGCAGGCAAATCACCCATCAGGCTAACTCTGATTTTTACCTCCATCTTTTTGAGGAACTTGCGACTGTCCCCAGAGGGAGCGTCTGATTTTTTCTTCAAGAAAGTTGCAGCACTGACTCCATCCTCATCCTCGTCTTCATCTGAAGAGCCTGGTGAGAACAGAGGGAAGAAAAAGTCTGAATGTTGAAGAGCCAAAGTGAAGAGCAATCAAGGCACCAGGCCAAAGGAACTCCTGACTTTGAACTTTCCATTTGCAGTTAACGTCTCGTCACGCACCTTCTGAATCCTCCTCATTCTTCTCGGCATCTTCATCTGCAGACTGCTCAGGGTTCTGGACAGAGGGAAATGAGAAAACAATTAAGGATGCTTGCCACCACAACTTCATTCCACTCCTTCACCTGAGAGTTTCATCACGGCTACTACTTCTCCAGGCATACCTCATATTAACAATTACTTTTTGAGAGTCAGACATGGTGGCTCACACCTGTAATCCCAGCACTTGGAGACGCTGAGGAGAGAGGACTGCCTGAGCACAGGGTTCAAGACCAGCCTGAGCAACAAGGCGAGACCTCGTCTCCACAATAAATAAAAAAAATTAGCCGGGTGTGGTGGGGCATCCCTATAGTTCCAGCTACTTGGAAGGCTGAGGCGGAAGGGTCGCCTAAGCCCAGCAGGTCAAGGCTGCGGTAGCTGTGAGCATGCCACTGCACTCCAGCTTGGGCAATGGAGTAAAACTCAAAAACCCCCACAAAACAACCACCACCACCACCACCACCAATTACTCCTTTGAGATTCAGTCATGGGGTCACTGTTCTCACAGTTCAAAAAGTCTGTCTCTAGCATCCCCACCTGCTTGTAGCTTGTAATATGGGACTCAAAATCTCGGTTGTATTTTCGGATCTTCTGGCGCAGGGTGCTCAGAGCCTTAGCATTGTTCTTGTTCATCTTCTTCTTCCCTTCCTTATCTTCCCACAGCTAAAGGAAAGAGAAAAGAGAGAGGGAACAGTGATGTGAGACTAAATAGTATTTCTTAAACTTCAGGCTTCACCACTTTTGAGTCTTGCTATCTGAACAACACTTATTAACTATATCTGTTAACTATATCTGTTAACTTACTTTTTAAAGATCCTTTATAAGTCAGCACTAAATGTGCAAAACTATGAATAAGAAGTGGGGCTGGGCATGGTGGCTCACGCTTGTAATATCAGCACTTTGGGAGGTCAAGGTGAGAGGACTGCCTGAGCCCAGAAGTTTGAGACCAGCTTGGGCAACACAGCAAAACCTAGTTTCTACCCCCACCCAAAAAAAATCAGTGGGTAGTGGTGCACACCTGTAGTTCTAGTTACTTAGGAGACTGAGGCAAAAGGACTGCCTAAGGCCAGGAGGCTGGCTCTGAGGTAAGCTATGACCCTACCACTGCATTCCAGCCTGGACAACAGAGTGAGACCTGAACTCAATCAATCAGTCAATTAATCGAGAATAAGAGGTGATAATAAGCACAGATACAAGTTCTTTGCCCAAAAGTTTCTTCTTCTTGCTTTATCTCATTTCTTGTATTCTAAGAAACAATGTATAGTAACACGAAAAACCTAGAGGACACATGACTTTTGGAAGTGGGTCAGGAGAAGGACCAGGTTCACACACCTGTGGATCCCACCTCACCCACAGGCATCACACCTCATTAAGATAGTCCTCCAGGTCAGCCAGGATGCGGATATAGAACCGGGGGACACCTTCTTTGTCCACGATGCTCTTGGCCTTCCCATATGCTTTTCCCAGGAGCTCAAACTCTTCCAGGCACTTGGTGACATCACGAATCTTCATGGCATTACGGATGGTCCGGATAAGGTTCGTCAGCTCCTCAAACCTGGGTTGGGAGCCCAATTCCACATTGGACATATATACCATGAAGAATACTCACTACTGCTCCCAGAGATTTCCCCATCACCCAGCCTTCCCATGGCCTCACCGCTTGTCCTTGGCACTTCGGACAACTCTCTTGGTATCTTCTTCATCCTCGCTCAATAACAATGGCCTGTTAGGAAGGAACAGAGTAAAATCTTTAACCTTCTTTCCTAGTTACAGTCTTTCCAACAGATCTCATTTCTCTTCAAAGATGGGACAGGCAGAACTGAGTAACTCAAGCCATCCATACCATATCCACCCTTTCTGACACTTCCTCCTCATAGCCTCTTCATGTACAACTCAATCTTTTAAGTCTACTTCAAGTAACATCTTTTGTTAAATATTGTAGGACAAAGATGACAATCACTATTCTCTCAAAAACAAACAAATGTAGGTGTGTATTTACTGTGTAATGAATTACATAAAGACACAAGTCACTATAGAAGTATTGAGAAAAAAAAAGTAGAGAAAAAGGATACTTCAGCTATAACGAAGAGGCTTCAAGGAGGTGGTACCTAAACTAGGTCCCAGAAAACAACATTTCACAAGTAGGAGAGGTCAACAGCGGGAAGAAGTCTCAATGGCATTAACACCTCCAGTGCTTGAATTTTTATTTGATAATGGGACCAGATCATCACAGACTCAGCCAGCAACAGCTAATCAGCAACAGCTATCTCCAGTTCCCTCTCCCTCTTTTTTTTTTTTAAGAGATGAGGTCTGGCTATGTTGCCCTGGCTGGTCTCCAACTTCTGCACTCAAAGGATTCTCCCACCTCAGCCCCTGGAGTATTTGGGACTAAAGGCACATGTTACCTGCCCAACTCTTTTTCTTGCCATTTCATTAATTTCTTGGATTTCTTTTATTTTATGGCAAGTGACATTGGTTTTCCACTTGCAGAAGGAATATGAAATTGTATTCATATTGGATATGCGTGGAAACACACATTTAAACCGGAGCACAGGCATATGGCAAAAATAACGAAGGTGGCGTGTCAATGATAAGAGGTCTGAGAAACAATATTCCATAGCTTCAAAGGACAAAAGAACTTTAATTTGCAGAGATGGGGCAAAGAATATTTAGGTGGAGGTAAACAATAAGAGTATTAAACGATGTTTATGAACCTGCGTGCAGAGCTAGGTGGTCAGAATTCAGAGCCACATCGGGGGCACTCAGATACCAAGTATTTTGGGTTTCCTTCTGTGAGCAGCAACAGGTCACTGAGGATTGCTCGGCGGTAAGAAGAGAGGGGGTGAGGGGAGGGGAAAGAAGGTACAGCGACTCACAGGCTAGTTAGGAAGCTGATGCAACAGAGCCAGCCAGTAGGAAATTTGTTGTGACTCTACCCGCTGTACCCGGTGGGTGGACTCCCTCATTTCACAGGACTCTTACGAGCGAAGGTTGTCTCTCCAATACTCCCATCCCGTAAACCCTCCCCATCCTCAGATCCTGCTCACTCCACCGCCTCCTTGAGAACCTCATCGCCGCCCTCGCCTCCAACCCCTCCCACATACACTGCCTCCCAGAGCCTGCCTAATCCCGCACTCCCCGAGTGGTCGCCACGGCGCTGCCCCTCCAACTCACTGTTTGCCGTAGTTACCCCCGACAGGTTTGGTGACGAGCTCCTCCCCGGACAGGGACGACTCGGACTCGCTGTCCGATCCGGTGGTGAAAAACCGCGACATGGCGACTGCGCAGAGGTACTACGGCTGGCGCGGCCGGACCTGCCGGACAGCCGGTGCGTCAAGGGCCACGAGAAGAGGACCAAGCCACCGCCTCCCAGCCCCCGATCCCTCACCACCCCCGCCCGTACCCCGACCTGCGTAGCCCTTCTAGAAACACGAGGCCCAAAATATACCAACCAGCCGAGCTTGCTAGTCACACCGCCAAGACGGACAGCGGAAGCTCCGAGAGAGGAAAAGGCGGGGCCTTCCGTCACTTCCGGGAAGCGCTGACCTCGTTGACTGACTACAACTCCCAGTGGCCTTCGCGCCACACAGAGGGCAGGGACAAGCCTGAAGTATCTGGGTACTAAGACCTTGATTGGAGGCTTCCCAAATCTTACCACGCGTTGACGTCTGGATTTAAAACACAAAGGCCGGCCCCGGGGTTTAACGCCTGTGATCCCAGCATTCTGGGGGCCAAGGCAGGAGGATCGCTCGAGCTCGGAGTTCGAGACCAGCCTAGGCAACATAGCGAGACCTCGTCTCTACAAAAACTTTTAAAAATTAGCCAGGCGTGATGGCACGCTGCGGTGTTCCGTGATCATGTACTGCACTCCAGCCTAGGCGACAGAGTGAGACCCTCGAGACACACACACACACACACACACACACACACACACACACACAGCCTCACTCTTAACCACGAAATCAAAACACACACACACACACACACACACACACACACACAGCCTCACTCTTAACCACGAAATCAGAACCTAAGGACCTGAGCCCACGTGATGCTGACGAGCTCTCAGGTTTTGTAGCTAGTCTCAGATCAAACTTCTAGTGAGACTGACTATTTGGGTTAAAATCCCAGCTCCGCCACTTAGGCAACTTTCCTGACCTCTCTGGGCTTTAGTCTCCCCAAGCTATAAAGTAGTAATAGTAATAGCTTCTACTTAATAGGATGTTATGAGAATAAAATGAATTAGTAGATGTAAAGCATTTAAGACAGTGCCTTGTACAGAATAAACATATATATCGGTATTCAGTCTTTATTTCACAAATGCTTAGTGAATATTCATGATGAACAAGCCAGCAATGTCTTAGGCACTGGATACAGCAGTGAGCAACACAAAAAAGATTCCTGATTTCACAAGGAACTCACGTTTTAGTGAATTTAGATCCTGGTATCAAATATATATGTATAATAACTAACACAAAAATGAATGAAAGATAATCCCAGATAGTAGTAAGCATCATAAAGACATTAAAGTGAGTGGTTAGAGAGGAAGATTATTTTAATAGGAAGATCAGGCCCTCTCTGAAGAGGTGATGTATGAGCTGAGATCCAATTGATGGGAATGAGGGATGCCTGTGAAGGTCATCTACAGAAAAGAGCCTTCCCAGCAAGTACAAAGACTCTAAGGCAGAGATTAGATTGACTACATTCTAAGAATAGAGTAGCCCAGTGTGCTATCAGTAAAGTGAGCGAGGCATTGCTGGGCTCAATGGCTCAGCCTGTAATCCCGCGCCTTGGGAGGCTGAGGTGAGTGGATTGCCTGAGCCCGCAGGTTCGACACCCACCTGGGGAACTTGGTGAGACCTCATCTCTGCAATAAATAAAAAAATTAGCCGGGCGTGGTAGCGTGTGCCTGTAATTGCAGCTACTTGGAAGGCTGAGGCGGAAGGATCCCCGGAGCCCCAGCAGGTCGAGGCTGCAGCGGCCGGGAGCGGTCACTGCACTCCAGTCTGGGCGACAGAGTGAGACTCCAACTCAAAAAAAAAAAAAAAAAAGTAATACTAGTTCATGCATGTCCTTGTAGGCCTATGGATTTATTATTATTATTATTTTGAGTTGGAGTCTCACTCTGTCACCAGGTTGGAATGCAGTGGCATCCTCTGACCAGAAACTCCCCTCTGCACGGATTGCTTCTTTGAATACTAGTTCCTCTCCCCAATTTGCCTGCTTCCATTTTTCAGAGTCCTCAGATAGCTCTTTTTACATTTTTTTTTTTTTTTTTTGAGTTGGAGTCTCACTCTCTGCCCAGGCTGGAGTGCAGTGGCACGCTCGTGGCCACTGCACCCTCGACCTGCTGGGCTCAGGCAATACTTCTGCCTCAGCCTTCTGAATAGCTGGAACCACAGGCGGGTGCCACCATGCCCGGCTAATTTTTTGATTTATTGTAGGATGAGGGCTCACCAAGTTGCCCAGGCTGGTCTTGAACCCATGAGCTCAGGCAATCCTTTAGCCTCCACCTCCCAAAGTGATGGGATTACAGGCATGAGTCACCTCGCCTGGTTTGCCTGTGGATTTAAATTGAGGTGAGGTGGAGAAGTTGTCAGCAGAGTTTTTAGCCAGGGACTGTTTTACACTTTTTTTTTTAGTTGGAGTCTCACTCTGTCGCCCAGACTGGAGTGCAGTGGCCGATGTCGGCCACTGGAGCCTCGACCTGCTGGGCTCCAGCGACCCTTCTGCCTCAGCCTTTCGAGTAGCCGGAATTACAGGCATGCGCTACCACACCTGGCTGATTTTTTATTTATTGTAGAGATGAGGTCTTCGCCAAGTTGCCCAGGCTGGTCTCGAACCCACGGGCTCAGGCAATCTACTCACCTCAGGCTCCCAAAGTGCAGGATTACAGACTGAGCCACCTCGTTATTTTTAATAGCAGAATATTGTTCTATTACATGACATACCATAAAATGTATTTCCTCAGATTCCTAATGATGATTGTCTTTCTAAAACATTCACAATAACCCCACAGGGCAGGTATTATTGTCCCACTTTAGAGAGGAGAATGCTGACGTCCTAAGGGACCAAGCGATTTGCCCAAGGTCATACTGATAACCTGCATTCCAACACAAACATTTCACATCTATCTGAACTGTTGAGTACTATGCAGTTTTAGAACTAGACGCCTGATAGGGTTTGTAGGGGATGGGAGAGGAGGTTGTAAAACAACTCATCATATATATAAACAGAGCAGAGTTGCAATGGCCTAAAAGCTAACACTGTGCTCTCACAGCATTCTGTTACTAATTGCTTTACTGCCAATATCTACTCTCTCCGAGACCCGGCATCCCAAAGCTAAGTGACTGATAATATCCTGGTACTGACTGTCAGTGTTTGCTTTCCTAAGACTGTATTTCAGAGACAAGTGATTAACAACATCACTGGTAGTGACTGGTTTAATGCAGATATCTGCACTTCAAGGCCGTGGGACTGGCCTCAGCAGTACCTACATCTGCATTTGAAGGCCAGACAACCGACAACTCAAACTCCCAAAACTGCTTCTTGGCACCCAAACCTAAGCTCCCTAAAACTGCTTCTCCAAGCCGGATAAGCCTCTGCTGGGGTTGTATAAGTGGCCTACAAGAGAACAAAGGGAGCTGGTTTCTCTATAGAACCAGCCACCCCCCTCTCCTTCTTTTCTTTTTTCTTTTTCTTTAATAAACCTTTTTAATCACCAGTGGCTCATCTCTTCCTTCTTGGCATACTGTAACAATTTTTGAGTTAATTCAACTTGCTCTGTGAATAGGATAGATGGGGCAGCTGACTGAAGAAAACTTAATGACTTCTTTTCCGAGAATGCTCGGCTTTGTAATTGGAGCCAAACATAACATGGGTGTTTTTAATGGAAGCATTTTGTTAATACTTAGATTTTGATAGAGGTCTTAATGGTCCCAGAGCAGGAGGCACCCCCTGAAGGAGCACTGATCAGTGTCGTGTCTCCAGTTCATGTGGGTGTACACATTTTCCTTAGCAGATTGCCTCTCTTCATGTTCCTGTAATAGTAAAACTAGAAAGCAGAGAGATGATAGTCATAACTGATATTTGAATAACAATTCCAAATGCATAAAGGTATTTGAAACTCATAACAAACTTGTAGGTGGGCAGGAAAAGTAACTATTACTAATTCATTTTACAAATGAGAAAAGCAAGTCTCTGAAGCCAGCTATCGCTCAGCTAATGACAGTATAAGGTCCTGAAACCAAGTCCTCTAATTCTCAGGCCACAGAAACCTCTTCTGAGTGTACTGTCTTTTACTTTTTTTGAGTTGAGGTCTCACTGTGCCACTCAGACTGGATTGCAGTGGCAAAATCATGGCTCACTGCAGCCTCGATCTCCTGGGCTCAGGTGATCCTTCCACTTCAGCCTCCCAAGTAGCTGAGACTACAGGCACATGCCACCACGCCTGGTTAATTGTTTTTAATTTTGTATAGACAAAGTCATGTTATGTTGCCCAGGATGGTTTTAAACTCCTGGGCTCAAGCATTTCTTCTGCTTTAGTCTCCCAAAGTGCTGGGATTACAGGAGTGAACCACTGTGCCCAACCCTGGGAGGCTTAAATAACAAACATTTATCTCTGGAGGTTGGGAAATCCAAGATCAAGGTGCTGGCAGATTTGGTATCTGGTGAGGGCCCTCTGGTAGCAGACAGCTACCGTCATGCTGTATCCTCACTTGGTAGAGAGTGAGATCTTGCTTTTTCTTACAATAAGGGCGTAATCCCATCATGAGGGCCATCCTCATGACCTAATCTAACTCTTACTACCTCCTAAGGGCCTCACCTACAAATACTATCACACTGGGGATTGGGGTTTCAACATACAAATTTGGCAGGGGAACAGCAACATTCAGTTCATATTGATATCAGAGTTGAATTCCTGAAAAATTCAATATATGTTAAAACCAAGCAAGAAATATTTTGGGTTCATGTGTAAAACAGAATTAGATTTTTAGCACATTTATTAAAAATTGGAGTCTCACACTGTCGCTCAGGCTGGAGTGCAGGGGCATCTTTACAGTCACTGCAGCCTCGACCTGCTGGATTCAGGTTATCCTTCTGCCTCTGATGTGGCAGAAAGGGGGGTTAGTAGCAGTTAAAGATATTTCCTTTTGAAAGGCAAGCTGCAAGCTTTAAAGACCCGCCAGGCACCAGGCTAGTTTGGTTTGAAAAGGCCAAATGGCTAGAGACTGATGGCTCTCATGGAAATGCAAAAGAGTAACTAATTCACAGACTTATCCAAAACCCCTCTTCTGAAGCTGACGGTTTACAACCCTGCAGTTCCTGGAAACCATTTGTTCTTTGAAAAATCTGATTTTTCTTAACACCACCTTGTAAATTCCAAAGGAGATATGTAATCGCTCAACAAGACCCCCCTCCCTTACCTTGATGAAGGTATAAGACCCCGCTTATCCCATTCTGCGGGGCTCTATTTGGATGCATTAGCTCCTCGAGCCCACTGGGCCAGCCGCTGTAATAAAGTTGTCACTTCCTATAATAGTCTTGGTGTCACGATCTCTCTGTCTTCCGCTATACCTCAGCCTTCCAAGTAGCTGGAAGTACAGG